TTCAACGAGCGAGGATTTCGAAAAATAAGTATACGCATCCATTAAAGTAAGTCTATTAGACTTGCTTGCTCAGGATTCCCGTTTTTATTTTTGCTCTCATTTCTCCATTAAACGTTGAAGTTTCAATCCTGATAAAGGCGAAATGGAGCATCTTACCGATGCTCGTGACAACGTTACTCGTTTATTTGATCACGCTGCCACAGATAGGTGCCTCGCGCGCGGGTATAATAAAATCACATCGGCCTGCCCACTTTCTCGAAACAAACTTGGCTTTGTTCGCCGTCGACGACGTTGATGACATCCTTTGTGCGCGACATTAATACACACAGAGAGAAACGAACGGCCGCGCGGCGGAGCCAATGACGGTTTGTCGAGGACGGTCTGCTGTCGTCGTCACCGTTGCCAAATCGGAATACCGGATCGACGGTGACAGAAAATTGAGGGTAACGCGATCGGGAGGGGGATTAATCGCGTCCGGCCGAACGTTATTTCTGCAAGTATAATTGAACGGACAGAGGCAGCAGATTAATCGCGGATCTTAATCGCCCGGAGATTCGCAAGGATGGAGGGCGCGCCGTTGTTGCACAATGCCACTCTTTCACGTGTACAGTTGATTAAAATACAAAAGTGAAGCAAGCCGGGTTTATTTTGGGTTTCAGTTGACGTTTACGGCAACGTGATCGTGCTCGTTGCTCCATTCGTTTTATTGGGAGTTAACAATTTAAGCAACGACGACTGTACTACGTCGGTAAGAATACGACATTACTCTTTCGCCCATTTACACGCTTCGTTTAGAAGCTGAAGTTCAAGTTCTGAACACCTAAGCAATCTACTGCCTATTTTAAAATACGTAACAAATAGCTTATGTTCTTATTGATGACCGGTTTAAATTGATTACCCTTCACGATTTGATTTACGCCACTTTCACGGTAAGCGACTCGACTGGCAATGGCGTTTGGATCGATATGCGATGCCCACTATCTCGAATGTGCAAAAACGGCGCGGCCGTTTCTCCTTCGCGGAAATGCAGGTTGCGGTTGAAACCGCGCGATATCGCCTCTAGACCTAATGAAACTTTCATCCGCGAGATGCGGATGCAAGGCAGGAAAGGTTAGAAGTACAGCGATCGACCTGACCTATCTCCGATGCAATTAGTTCGGCAGACGGGTTTGTCGACGCGGATCCCGGAGGGGATTTCGTAATCGAGTTCCTTCCAGGGATAACAAGACAGCCACTATCCAGGAATTGATACAATCTATCAATATAGTTCCGATATTGTTTTATCTAGTCGCGCGGATGGATATATTGCATTTGTTTGAGCTTTTGTACGTTTTGCGGTCTGAATTTTACAAATTTCTAAAACCTGATAACACGCCAATAACGTAACTAAAAAAATTATAACTTTTTGATGACAAATATTTAAAGTGGAATTTAATTAATTTTACACAATAGTGAATTTAAAAAAAAGCGTATATATTCTACAATTATTTTACATATATAACATTGCACGCACAAAAATAATTCAAATTGGGAAATTGGATCATTGAATCTAAAATATAATTTTGGATCATCAAATTAAAAAAAAATCATATTGTTTGAAAAAATACGCAAGTCAGCGATATTTCAGTATCGAATTAAATAACTTTCCTAATATGCGATCTGTTTCTTTTAAATAATAATTCTAGATGTACTCATAATGTATTCCTAACTTTAATTTAGTTTTAAATGGAAATGACAACCCGGAAGATGAATCCCATAAGAGAGAACGACAGCGAAGGGCGTGGCCAACATAATGAAGATACTTGTATCTTATAGGACAAGTTCTTGGCGAGCGAATTTCATCGTTATGTCCGAAAAGGACGGCAATTAGTGCGAAAATCCATCTCTAAGGACTCAGAGATTTCGTGCAGTCGAAAGGCTACGCCGTCGATGACGTCGCTGCTGGTGACAGAACGTCAAGCCCGTGTCGTAATTGGGGCGAATTCCTCGTGCGCTCTGCTCGATTGTCGTTTCGACTGAAATTCTACTTCTAAGGTTTGTACCTGGCACGCGATATTCCGGCAATTGCTTTTCGCTAATTACAGCAATACGAGGAGTCTTACGCGTGATTACGCGTTAGCGAACTTTTGAATTCGCACGAGTAATTTTCTTCGCGTGTTTCAGGGCGTTACCACTATCAAGTTATAACTATGTTACTCTGAACTTAACACTGAACGTTGCAATATACAGGCTGGCTCATAGACGGTTCTCATACTTTAGATCGTTTTAAGATCGTCATAAACCTAACACATAGATTCGTATCTTAAGATATTACTTAAGACAATCTTGAAATAAAAACAAACTGTGAATACTGATCTAAATGATAACAGCGTGACTTAAGGCAGCTCTTATCTTTCAAGATAAAAAAATGAGTTTATTAATTCAAACAGGAATTATACTTAAAGTGCGCATTAAAGTAGCTTAATTTCGTTAGATTAATAAAAAATTCTTTTAATTACAAATATATAAAATTAACGGTTATTCAAATATCATTTCAATGTCTATTATGACGACAAGACTCAAATATTTAATGCGTTTTCCTTAAGAAAGGATCAATATATATTACTACAATAGCAGAAATTAAGGTCACTCCTCTGCTAATCTTATTTCCAGCTATAAGTAAATTTCAGTGGAGGATTTTTCATTTTTCCGGTGTCTACTCGTGGAAATAAACTCACGTCTAAATTGTCTTTGTATAATTGCTATTCGACGCTCGAATTCGCGCAACGAAACCGCAGCACCTCGACGCGAAGAGCAATTATCTCGAAAACGGCGCTAATAGTTCGAGACGAGGATCGCCACGTGGCGTTGGTAATCTTCATTAACCGTGGTAGAAAGAAACGCGGTAATTAATGTTGTAAGATAACTCGAAATAATTTACGCGTCATAACCAAGCGGCGTTGAGTTGCTAAACGGCTACACTTTTGCAATGCGAAGGCCGCGCTCTGCTCTCGAGCATTCGCGCCCTCGGGCGAGCGATTTAATCGTTGGTCAGTGAACCGTGATTCGCAAGAATAATTTGTAAGCGCGGGTTCCCAACTTCATTTCGCCTTTTGTTCCACATACTTTTTCGGAAGGCTGTGCGTTATTGAGATGGGGGGGATATATAGGATTAACTTTATACAAGCTTTCTATAATAAGCCATTACCTAGGCTTTAAGTTCTAAGCCGTAAGAAATTGGCCAATCACAGTCGAATGTGAGAAGAATAATCAACTTAAGATTGGTCAATTTCTTACGGCTTAAAATTTAGGTAATGGCTTATTGTAGAAAGCCTGTTACGGATAATAAGGTAGGTGTGAGCAATACAAAACGAGCTAAACTATCACGTTAGCCGTGAAAAGCGTTAAATGTCAAAGTAAGATATAATTACTTCGCTACAAATGCATTTTGCATTTTATTCAGCGTAATATATTAACGCAGTCCGCATACGGAGTTGTAATTCGAGAAATGTGTTGCCAACCGGGTTGATATTCGCGATGGTGCGTCGCTGTTTTGTCGCGTAAAATTCATTCAATATCCTTGTAACGAGATGTATTTTGAATATGGATTTATTACGATGCATTTGCATATAATTTGCCGCTTCGGAATATTTATACGTTTCGTCGGGTGGTCCAAATTATCACGCACTTTCATATTCCTGCTCTCTCGTCGCCTCGTATTCCAGAGTGAATAGATCTATTCGGATTCTGTGATATGTGAATGTCCGCGACGAATTCATGCGTATGACGGTCGAGCGATTTTTAAGCTCGAGGATCGTTCCCATCGCATTGTCGCGGCATTTCCGGATTGATCTCTCATTTCTAAAACCGGATTGCAATGGATTCCCAAACGTGTTTTGCAAGCTTTTTTTTAACCATCGCTTTTTACGCAATTATACAAAAAGTTGTTTAACATTTAATATTTATAAAAAAAAAAGTTTAAAAAAGTGGTAGAAAGGTCAAGCAAAAACGAGCAATTATGATTTAAACAGATTAAAACTAATTTCAAACGTCTAGAACTAAAATGTCAAGAAAGGATTAAAACTAGTAATTAAGTAATATAAAAATTTAAAATTTACAAAGAAAGAAACGTTATCTATAATCATTAAAATGTTCAATGAACGATAGAAATGCAGACTTTCGCTTAATTTTCTCTTTAAGTAAATAAAATATTCGAAAGAAAAAATGTTTTCTTCGAAGCTTGCGAGCAAAGCCGGCAGGCGAAGCCTTTTTGCGTCTAGATACTGTTTGATCCAATTAAGCTTTCCCCATTATGTGCAACAAGGCACAGAAGCGGCACAAATGATGAACTAAAAAAGGGGAGAAATCGCAACACGATCGGCGTGCGGAGGGAACGATCCTCCGTGCGTTTCGCACGTACGTAATGGCCGTCGCTAATTAAATCGGATTCTGCAGGAAGAAATCAGTTGAACACCGCCCCTCTCTGGAGAATGCGATCAAATTGACGACTTGGATGCAAGAATCGAGCAAGCCTATCTTTTTCAATAAATAATTTTATTATATTCAATAAATGCAGTTTAACGTTTGTTGCAAAAATCTAGTATTTCCAAAGTTAAATCGTATTTGCATAAAGTTTTACGAAAATTTGATCAATCACTAGATATATGCCGTTTGTACAATTTTTGAACAATACGTCATGAACACAGCTGAATTAAATTTCCTTCAGAAAAATCGTATTTTAAATATATGTTAATGATATACATAAAATTGAAATTTGAAAACATTTGATGATTAAAAATTTAAAGATTTCAGATTATGTTGATTGATATTAAAAAAATATTAGTAACGTTCAAAAAAGCAGACTTGTTCGATTCTACATTTTCATGCTGTCGATTGCTGAAACGCATGTCGAGAGACGCGAGGGGAGTGATGTGTTATGAAGTTACACGTACATAACACCAATAAAAGGAAATAAAAAAAGAACTGAGGGAGATGAAAGAGAAAAGGATAGATAGACTCACCCAGTGTCGGTGTCGTGTAGTCCCAACTTTCGGCATCATTCTTGTAGACGTTGAGCTTTGTCGGCTGAAAAAATAACAAAGATATATTTAAATACGGCTTCAAACATTACAGAGAATTGACGTGTAAATTGTTTTTTTTTTCGCGCAGAGAAAAAAATGTACTTTGATTGGAAACGTGTAAATGTAAAAAAAGAAGAATTGGAAATAAAAAGTAAATTAAATACTGTCACCTAATTCCATTTTGTTACGTGTTACATGGAGTTGGAATTTCTTTTCAAAAGTTTCTATCACAGAAATTAGTGAATGAAATTTTTACTTGCAAACAATGTCCTGTTACAAAAAGCTACATGCAGGTGGGCGCATAATGTTATTATTGAGAGTTTCGTATCGAGTTTCCACTGAATGAGGAATAGCAAGTTATCCATAACTCAATATCGCAATTTTCGAAGGTACCGTGTATAGCGTATACCACATCCTTCGATTACAGCAACGAATAATCCGTGCTTGTTCTCAGTCACCTAATGAATACTTGGGCGAATCTCTCGGGCATGCAAGACTAATTCGATTAGCTTAAGCGACGCGAATCCCCAGGTGTTAAATAGAGCAGCTCTCTTCCTCCACTGAACCCCCAATGATTTGCCGTGAAATTCGCAGCTCTTCCAAAACTATACGTATAAGTATAAACGATCGATCGATCGTTTTGTCAGAATCGTCCTTCTCTTGTCGTCGAAAAAATTCGCTCTATCTTCGAGAGTGTATCGTAATATACCCGTAGTATATATGCATCCGCGAGATTACGAGAGCGCTTCTAGGGCGCTTTCCACGGCCGTAAAAACGTCACGTTTCGAGCTGAATAACCGCTCCGGTATATCTCGTCTACCGTGATAATAATTCCGCGAGTAAAACCCGGCAGGGAAAGTAAAACGGCGTAGACAGGAGATACAGCCATCCAGCTTAGCCACGTTTACCAACCGCGCCGAGCACGCGGAAAAAGTTAACGGTCCGTCTGCAATAAGTCGTCGCATTCCACCTCGTTTTCAGACAGGTAGAGCTCCGCGCACTTAGGACAAGCTTTACAATTATATTTCTTGCCATTATAACCACCATATAAAGTTACACGGTGACTTCGAATGATAACTTTTGAACGTTACCTCGAGAAAGGCTTTATAGGTCACGTCGAGGAAATATATCTTTGTCCCTCCACGCTGGCTCGGTAAATTTGTTTTCTTATTTCTAACCGTATCTATAGTGCCCATCAATTTTTCTTGCAGATATTCCGATTTTCATAGATAAAACGTACAGAATGAATAAAACGAAAAATAATTTCCAAAAGGCACACTTAATTTGACGCAATAAAGACCGAAAGAAAGTATAAGGAGATTATTTTTAATGGAAACATTTGCTCTAAGAAAAATTAAAATACATATGTACGTCGCTTTAAAAGATTGTATCAAGATAACGTCTTTTCGTTGCAAAAATGCTAAATATAATTTAATTGTGTCTTGTTTTATTTCAATATTTTTAAACTCATCCGTCTCCTTTTTAAAAATTTGAGACAATTCAGAGGAGTTGCTGCCAAGGTAGATAAAAACAGGAGAAAACAGAAGAAACCGTCGAACGTGGTCCGACAGTTTGTTCGTTTGATGGTCGAGAAGCTTACAAAGATTCACTATGAAAAACCAAGAAGGGGAAACCAGACGATGTCGTCTTTATGCATTCGGTCGCTAGAACGAAGCATGATTCTGTTCGAGATAATCACATTTATAAGAGCTAAGTGTGCGAACACATGTTTGTTCATCGCGCGGAATGCGTGCTAACACTTGTCTCGAGCCTGTTGTCCGAGAGATGTTAAGTAAATACTGCATTTTTGTCGTAGCTTGTTTTCATCAAAAGAGTTAAAAATTTAGAGATAAAAAGCAGGGACAAGACCTCGGCAAAAATCGCTCTTTTCTAACGACAATTTTCAACGAAAGAAAATTACCTGGATTATTTTTAAATTTCACGAATATTTTTCTTTAATAAATACTCATTGTCAGTTGTATACTTTTACCTATATTAATCCTCTTTTCGCAATTAAAAACAATTTTTCCACATACTTTTACATTTTTAATAACAATAATTTTCTCTAAATCTAAATCAGTGCATAATCACTGATATCAAAGCCAAGTGTGCCACTGGTAATCAGTGAATTAAATGTGAGATCCCTAACCTAGCTAATCTTTAATGTGTGATCTAACTAATCTTGTTTTAGTGCTTAAATTCAATGAATATGATATTGGAAGATTGAAATTAACTCTAAAATGCAAATATCAGTATTTTAGTTATATAATGCTCAAACATTCTTCCTTTCTTAGTTGAACTTCACTGATTATCAGTGCAAAGTATGCCACTGGGTGTATTAGTGACTATCCACTGATTCAGCTTTAGAGAATTCATACAAAAAATTATTATATTTCCATGAGTTGATTATATCGTTCAAAATTTTTATAATCAAATATTTAATTTTATTTACGCAAAAAATTATATTATCTTTCTCTCATTTCTTATTTTTAAATATTATTCTTTAATTAAGTATTTCTTTATTAAGAATAAAAATTTACTTTCAATAATTTCATTGTATGCAGCAGAAAATATCCTTGTTTTTCGCATTGTGGAAGGTTCTATTTCCGTAAAATCGATCGGCTCATTGCACGTGCAATTTCTGGGCAATCTTGCCGCAATTTACAGAGAGTTACACGTGCGCTCCACTCAATTTCGTCAGAGTAGATGGTACTTATATATAATATGCGACAAATTTCTTTCTGAAATACTAATAATTTTTCATGTAACTGTGCCGTTATTACATCATTAATACTATAAATGCAGATTCTTCCGAAGGGAAAACATACATAAATTAAGTTCGAAGAAGTTATTTTGGATACATAACGGAGATATTCGGTATTTTCGAAGCTCTCTTCATCCTATGTTGAAATTTTCAAAAGCTTAGATTGCTAACCTACGGTGTTGGAGTTGCTTTGAAGTCGCCATGAGAATTATTCAACAGGATACAAGCTTGATGTAGCTGCTACTATACCCCTATATTTCGGGCTTAATCATTTTCCCTTGTGTGCTTGCGATGCAGAAGTCTGACCTGCATCCTACCGCGCCCGGAAGAGCGAAATTAGTTCCTCTTTATTGCGCCGAGGTGAGGTAATGCCGTTTACTTCGCCTCGGTGTTAACTGTCCCGGCATTAATCCACGTAGAAAGTAACTTTGTATCATTCTCACAGCGTCACTTGTAAGTAGCTGCAAGAAATTGTCTATGCGACAGCGTAGAACGTCACTTTCGTGAAAAAGCTTATATGCAAAATCGTTCTATGACTGGCAATAAACGTCAGGCATATTTTTATTACTTGAATTTTTTAGAAAGTATCACCGTTACTTTAGTATATCTATATACTTTATATACTAAATAGTATATGTCTATATACTTTATATACTAAATAGTATATCTATTTAGTATGTCTATATACTTTATATCGCGTGTACACTAGAGTTTTTTATGCTAATAAAAACATATCTTTATAAAATGTTGTTGAAGAGAATTTAAATTTAATTTTTTTAACATTTTTTTTTTTACTACTTAAACCTACAGACGCATATCCTTTGCGTTCTCTCATTCACGGCATTCATAATTCAGAAGAGGAACGGAACTCTTTTCTAGCGGATATGCAGTAGCAAATGGAGCAGACTTTTGCGTGCCGCAATTGCAGCACGACCGGGAAAATTATTAAAGCCGGAAGATAAGGCGGTGCTATGTAGCGGCGTAGCTGAATAATTCAAGCGACTCGAAAACGCTAATTTCGCCGGAGGGAAAGAGGAGAGACGTTCGCCTCGTCGGAGCACCTCATTTCATCTGACGACGACGAGCCTCTTCTTATTGGATTTAAGACGTTGAGTTAAGCATTGAGAACTGCGGGCGGATTCCGCTGGTGCATTATAGTGCAGAGCCGATTTAGAATCGATGCTTTATGATACGCCGCGAGGTATAATTATCTCTCAGTTCATTTTATCTCAATTAATTCATCGCAATGAAAATAATAATAGCTGCGAGTAATGATAATATTATATAGTCCCAAAGTGTACCGAAATCAATGTAAGGAGATATATTCATGCGATCGTATTTATGCGGAATTATTTCTGAAGTTTTAAAGGCTAGCTAACGAATTATATTTAGCTCCATACCTCACAAAAGTTTCATACAACCTCAATAGCACTTGAAGTCGAAGAAGCGTAAACTTGCAATTGGTTGTAGATTGCGGCGACGCGAAAAAGCTTTTTCAATTCACGTAGAATATCGTCTCGCGAGTTTATACAGACTGTCGTGTAGCGAGTTATTTAGTTGGCCTACATAGAGTATTCCACAGGGTTTCGTTCGATCTTAATCTCGATGATAGTTTAGTTAATCAATACTTGTCGACACAACACATTGGAGTGCCAACAACTTCGCAAACTGAGCGTGCAATTTATTATGCGTTTTTTAAGCAAATTCTACCATTTTTTCTTCGAAGTTATTATTTCTAAAAGATTTAATGGCTCCTTGAAAAAATTGCAGGGTGATCGCATTTTTCAGATTTGTACTATGAAAAAAATCCATGCAGGATAATCTGTATGTATAACCTATTTTCGTAAACTGTGAGATATGCCATTTAAAAGATTTAAAATTTTAATTCTGCAAACGCTCCGAAACAGCACGGAAATAACATAACACTGAGCATCATGAGATTGCGCAGAAAATATTGTATAAGTTAACAGAACAAAAAAATATAGAACTGTATCAAAATTTTAATTTAGTTAAAAAAGAAAGTGTGAAACAGTCACGTGAGGCTTCCATGATTGCCATAATGAAATTAAAAATATCACGTCATCTAGAATTTTTTCACGTTTGAGAAGCGTAATTATACTAGGTATGTTTTTTATTCTTGTACTAAACTGCATTAAACTTTTTCCCGCTCTTGTCAAATATTAAATACGTATCTATCTCACTTTAAGTTCCGAAAGTATACACTATACTGTTCAGCCACA